CACATTTTAAATAAATTGCAACTATGCTAGTACTTAAGCGTTCAGATTCCATCATCCTTAATATATTTTCTTAAAATCTAGCTAGCTAAATTCCCAAACAACTGTTTTCTGAAAAGTTTGCCATAGCTTTACTCAAACAACTAAACCTTGTTAATAATTCAGCTTCCTGATAGCATTATTCTCAAAGGATATTCAGTATGAATCAATACAGTGTGTCAGAGGTTCTCTCCAGATTGGTTTGACCCTGAAGTTTTGTAAGCTTGTGAGTGTACTCCCTGTTACCTACTATCACTTTCCAGGGTGCTACAAAACTGCATTCTTATTTATCTATACTATTAGAGAGGGGTGAACAAGACAGGGTTGGTGAGGTAGATCTGTCCTGCCAAGTCATATGATCTAGCCTGCAACCATCATTCTCCTGCCCTAGGCCAATTAAGACCTGGGGATGGAGGAATGCATGAAGTTTTTCCCCCAGTACCTCCCGCCAGGGGTGCATGACACCAGAGGGAACTGCTAGTTGTTCTAAATGACTGGCAGTTCCCTCTTGACACCATGTGCTCCTGGAAGGCTGGGGGAAGGGGGCAAAAGACTTCATGTGCTCCCCTGCCTCCCAAGTCAATCAGGACCTGGAAGTGGGGGGAGCGTATGAAGTCTCCTCCTGCTGCCGGGGGGGGGGGGGGGCTTGTTCACAACAGCTCCTTCTCCCACCGGGGTGGGCTGCACCTAAATGGAACAGTCCCCTTCTGCCTGAGGCCCCGCCCCGTCTGTCTGAGTCCCCCGCCCCTTCTGGGATGGCCCGTGTCCACTTCCAAAATTCATGAAGTAGCCTGGGAACAGGATCCCATCCAGGCTCAGGGGCTGCCTGCTGCGTCCACGTGCCACAAGTGCAGCAAGTGATTGCGTGTGCACAGACTGCAGCACGATGTCCACCTTAGATACACTCGCCCCCCGATTGCTCTTGCCTTCCCTGCCCTGTATGTGTGACTCACCTGAAGATCCCACCGAGGCATCCGAGGAGGCCTGGGAGACGTCCTGGCTCACAAGTCCCTGGCAGGTGTGGGGTCCTGCTTCTGAGAGCGATCTGCTTTATCTGGCCTGGACATATCCCTGGTGGAGCTCCTTTACCTTACTCCAGACCTGTTTGAAGGTCCAGGGTGGGTGTCTGTGCTCTGCCAGGGAATCGGCCATCTGGCCATAAATATCCACATTTCAGCACTTGGCCCAGGGATCCTGTAATGTCTCCTTCTTGTCCCACAGTTCAAGGAGGGACTGGATCTCCAGGCCAGACCAGGATGGGGTGCACCTCTTCGTCCCCTGGGTGGGTCCTGGGACCCTTTGGGCTGTTCCCGGCAAGGACCAAGGGGGTCACAGGAGGCTTGGGTCTGTGACATAAGTTTGAATGCCTGTGGCAGGGAGAGCTGTGCGGTCAGGATGCTGCTCTGAAGCCAGCTTCCTCCCACAAGACTTGTCCCGGGTGCCTGCAGCTTTAAGAGGGGCCAGGAGACAGGAACTATAGAGTTGTGATTACTTTGTATGGAGTGGCCACCAGGGCACCTGTGCTTTTTCCTCTTTTCTCTTCTTTCAAAAAAACCCCTCCTCCCCGTTTACACATGCCTTTTTGTGAAAGAACTCTTCCACAAAAAGGCTTCTTCCTCGCAGAATGAGGATTACTACTGTCAGAAAAAGCCCTCTGTTCTTTTGACTTACTATCGGAAGATCATGATTGCGGTGTGGACTTTCCTCAAGTTTTGTCAGAAAAATGGCCATTTTTCTGACAAAACTCTGTAGTGTAGACATACCCTAACTGAAATTCTTTACAGAACTCTCAGTCACTTACATAAACTCTATTACTGTACCTTTATCAAACAATCTTGTCATTTCTGCAAAAACAATTATCAAGTTAAATTATATTTAATTACAGCAGGTTTTACAACTGTTTTTCCAAATGGTTATAACACATCCAGTGCCAGAAATAAAAGGGAAAGAAACAGAATAAAGAAAAAAAAAACAATCACGGATATTTTTAAATGATCTTATGAGAACGAAAACAAACTGTGGTTCATGCTCTAAGTGATTCACTAGTAACTTGTGTACACCAGTTTTTCATTCACTATATTGCTAATCAGTGTTTGCAACTAAATATATGTGAACTCTTCAGAATAATTCCCTTTCATTCCCTAGTTCTTCAAACAATGTTTTTCATGTTCATTGTTATACAAATGAAACAATATCCCTGCTGGCAAATTCTTTTATTTTCTAATTGTCTCTCTTGTTCTAACTTTTCTTTTAAATAACAGGGCATTTCTCAGTAATGTAAGTGAGGAAAAGCTTCATCTTTGACTTTGGGTATTGAAAGGGTATTCTGCTCAATATAGGGAAAGTGAGAAACAGATAATCAGCAGAGAATCAGTCTTCTGAGGATATGCACAAGTTAGATGAGATTCTTCAACCGTCACTCACTTTGAATCCAACCTTTCACTCAAATGCAGATGCAATGAGACCACCCTTAAAGGAAGGGGCTACTCAGCATGGGCAAGGATGAGAGAATGGAGCCTATAATAAAGAGCCATCTCCTCCTAATGGTGACATTTGGTCCTGAAATAAAACTTGAGTAATTGGATTTTGTGGGGTTACTCTGCAGGTTTTGCTGAGGTCATGGAACCAACATAGTTCTGGCTGGTCAAGAAGCAGGGTTGTGTACTAAACTGGAATACCACCCACATCTCTCTGTAACTCAGTTGAGGAGTTTAGAACCATTGGCTGTGTCTACATTGGCATCCCTTTCTGGAAAAGGGATGCTAATGAGACACATCGCAATTGCAAATCCACGGGGGATTTAAATATCCCCCGCGGCATTTGCATTTACATGGCTGCCGCTTTTTTCCGGCTTGGGGATAAGAGCCAGTCTAGACGTGATTCTCCGGAAAATAAGCCCTTTTCCGGAGGATCTCTTATTCCTACTTAAAAGGAATGTAGACACAGCCATTGTGTTTGAACAAGAGACGATGAAGTAGTCCCTCCCCTTAATGCCCTCCTTTGATTCAGCCTCTATAGATCTTACTCATAGTACCCCTCTTTGGTATGGAAGTTATGCAGAACCTTCCTCCAGGTCCCTTCTGGTTATCCCACTACCTGCATGCAGCAGAGATAGGGATCTCAATGATGCAGAGAGCTTTGCAATGCCTGAGAAAATTCTCTAGTCCGATATCCAGTACAACACATGACATTGAATTTCAGTCAATAATTCCTGCTAAGACATCAGTTATACATGTGAGGCAACAGCATACATTTTAGAAAGACAGACATTTTCAAGACTTCAAGTGCTGGAGAACACCACGTTTCTTGGTAAGTTGTTCCAATGGTCAGTTACAACCACTGCAAACAAACAAAAAACCTTATTTCTATTTGGAACTTGTCTAGTTTCAGCTTTCAGCTACTGTATCTTATACATTTGTCCATTAGATTAGCAAACCTGCCCTCTCCCAGTTCTTTATATGGCTGATGTAGATGTACAGTAACAACTTTAAAATTTACATTTTCATGGCTATGCCAGATAATTTTGCTAAGAATAGCAGAGTATATTGCTGTGATACCTCCTTTATATTTGTGAATTGAGCATTGAGTCATTATGTGTTCCATGGTCTAAGTGACCACATTTGCATACTGGAGAGTTTTTAGTTTTCCATTTGTGCATCAAGATTCCATATCTGCTTTGGTTTGTGCAGATGTGATTTAGGGCTGCTCATAATCTTTGTGGAATATGGAAAGAAGGGATCTTCCACGTTGGGTCTTTCATAAGGTATTTGTGACTTCTTGTGAATTTAATTCATCTTTCCAAGCTTCATCTGTGTTGAAGTCACATTGTCAAGGGTTAAGCACATGGGTCCAAAAGAGCTTGCATAACTTTCAGCCATACTTAGGGATATCATTGAGGTGCTAGTGGATGGGGAGACATTTGTTTTCCTCAATTTTCTGGACTTCCTGCAGGGTTGCAGCTTCACAGTGAACCAATGAAGGAGTCATATATGACAGCACAGGAAGCCAGGGTGTTGCAATTAACTTGAGAGTTCAGTTGGACATTAACAAGTTGAAGTGTGGCTACTCCTTGTCCGTACTAATGCATGGAACTTAGCTATGGAGTTCCACCACTATTGATGTCTATAGCACTGATGCTGATGTTCTCTTGCTTGTGCCTTCCAGTTTCTGGACCAGGTGGGCAAAGTGAAAGTGGAAGTTAGCATGTGGTCCAGTGCAATCACTGTTTTGTGAGGGTCTAGCTTGAGCTTCTGTTTCCAGAAATAGTCCTCCATGATATTTTTGGTTTTTATTCAAGGTGGTCTTGATGTTGTTGAAGGTGGTTGCTTGCATTGCCAGGACGTGGTCATCTGCATATGCAAATTTGACAACTTTTTTGGAGGCATGTCACTCATGTAGAGCCTTGTGGCAATCCACTGTTGAGGAGCCAGACTGAGCTGACTTTGTCACCCAAATGGACATGCAGCCACCTATTGCTTAGCATCATCCTTAGGAGGTATAGTGTTTTGTGCAAAAAAGGATAATCCTTGTAATCTTCACCAAGCATTTATTTCAGACAGTATGATTGGTCAGTCACAGATCTACAAAGGATCTGCTCAACTTGGATTTCTTCTTGAATCTAACCTATCTGTGCTTTGCAAAGGCCAACATTTTGTCACAGAAATTATTGGAATCCCACTTGTTCACTGGCATGCATCAAGAGTATTGATTCTCCAGAGGGTGATACATTCTAACAATTTGTAGGTTGTGCACAACAGTGATATCAGCCTGTAGCTTCCCAGGTTGTCAGTCAGCTTACCCAGTTTCAGTATGGCAATGACAATTGTCTCCCACCAAGCTTTTAGAGTGCATCTGTAGTCCATGGTTTCGGTTTATAATTTCACCAGCCCTTTGAGCCACTCAGGGTCTAGTTGAAAGAGAAATATGAGGATGCTCTTTCCATCTTTACTTCATGTGTGCTGATAGCAATAGGCTCCTATGGAGAGACTGTCCAGTGTAGTTGATGATGGATCTCTTGCTCAGTGTTTTTATCAAGCAGTCTTTTTGTGCTCTCCACAAATTTGATTAGAATATGTTGCTGAAAGAGGGAGAGATAAAAAATGTCCTTAAAATACACAAAAACAAAATTCAATTATTTTTTCTGAAATACTTCCTGGTGTTTGCTTTTGTCTCTTAGCAGAAGAAGCATTTTCTTTGTCACAGCAGGGAGGAAAAGGGAGTCTCAATCCAATCTCTGATCAAATTCCAGTTATCGCACACACACACACACACACACACATATACACACATACATACATATGGGCGAGAGGGGAGGGAACCTCATCTCCATGACATAACATAGATATTCCAGAGGGTGAATGTTCAATGAATCTGTCACTGTGGTGAAGGAAATTCAACTAGGGAGGCTAGAGTATCAAAAGCTCCCTAATATTAATATCAACAGTTTGACAGGTTTTTATATGAGAACTGTGAATGACAAAAGTTCACAAAAATATTTGAAATTCCTCCTGGAAATTTTTAGCAGGGAAGCAATCAGTAAGAATCCCATATACAGTGATGCTCTTGGTTCCCCTGCAATCAATGTACTAAACAAGAATTTGTCTCCTTTGTACAGCATTTCCTTTTTTTACTCAAAGGACTGCAAAGCACTGAGGATACTCATAGAATCATAGACTCATAAAATACTAGAACTTGAAGGGACCTCGAGAGATCAAGTCTAGTCCCATGCCCTCACAGCAAGACTAAGCACCATCTAGATCATCCCAGATAGATGTCTATCCAAATTACTCTTAAATATCTCTAGTGATGGAGATTCCACAACCACCCTAGAAATTTATTCCAGTGTTTAACCACCCTGACAGTTAGGAAGCTTTTCCTAATGTCCAACATAAACCTCCCTTGCTGAAATTTAAGCCCATTACTTCTTTCCTATCATCAGAGGCCAAGGAGAACAATTTTTCTCCTTCCTCCTTGTAATACCCTTTTAGATACTTGAAAAGCGCTATCATGTGTGTTAGGGGTTCATCTACACAACAGCGTTATTTCAGAATAACGGCCGTTATTCTGAAATAACAAAGTGAGCTTCTACACAACAATTCCATTATTTCAAAATAAATTCAAAATAACAGACAGCTTAATTTCTGTAAACCTCATTCCATGAGGAATAACACCTATTCTGAAATAGCTCTTTCAAAATAGCTGTAGTGCAGATGCTCCACTGCTGCTATTTCAAAATAGCTTCTCCCCAAGGCCATTCAAGCTAATTACTCCGCAATGCCTACTGGGCCTCTAAAACAAGGTAGTAAATCCACATTAGGGAAGCCTGTCTTGAACTAATTTTGAAGCTTCCCTGTAGTACTAACATGCTATTTTGAAATAAGATATTTCAGAGTATTTCTTGTGGAATAGCTTATTTTGAAATAAGTGTGCAGTGTAGACGTACCCTTAAATACATGAAAAATATCCCCCTTCCAGTCTTCTCTTTTCTAAACTAAACAAGCCCAATTCTTTCAATCTTCCCTCATAGGTTATGTTTTTTAGACGTTTAATAATTTGTGTTACTTTTCTCTGGACCTTCTCCAATTTCTCCACATCTTTCTTGAAATATGGTGCCCAGAACTTGACACAATACTCCAATTAAGGCCTAATCAGCACAGAGTAGAGCAGAAGAATGACTTCTTGTGTCTTGCTCACAACACTCCTGTTAATACAACCCAGAATCATGTTTGCTTTTTTTGCAACTGTGTCACGCTGTTGACTCATGTTTAACTTTTCTACTATGACCCTTAAATCCTTTTCAGAAGTACTTCCTAGACAATCTGATCCTGTATGTGTGAAACTGATTGTTCCTGTCTAAATGGAGTACTTTGCATTTATCCTTATTAAACTTCATCCTGTTTGCTTCAGACCATTTCTCCTGGTCCAAATCCTATTGAAGTCAATAGAAGAGCTCTCAATTACTTCAATGGGCATTGGATCATGTGCTAAACATAATGGCTGTGTCTACATTGGCAAGATTTTGTGCAAAAGCATGTGCTTTTGTGCAAAATCTTGCCACCTGTCTACAGTGGCTGCGAGTATTTGCGCAAGAACACTGATGTTGTAATGTACAAAATCAGTGCTTCTTGCGCAAATACTCTGACACTCCCGCTCAGACATAAGTCCTTTTGTGCAAGTGTTCTTGCGCAAGAGGTTAGTGTAGACAGGTAACATCAATTTCTTGTGCAAGAAAGCCCAATGGCTAAAATGGCCATCAAAGCTTTCTTGTGCATGAGAGCCTCTACACTGGCACGGATGCTTTTGCGCAAAAGCAAATCTTTTGCGCAAAGGCACATGCCAGTATAGACGCTCTCTTGCGCAAATACTTTTAACGGAAAAACTCTTCTGTTAAAAGTATTTGCACAAAATCATGCCAGTGTAGACACAGCCTTTATGTATGCCATCATCTAAATCATTGACAAAGATATGGAACAGAATTGGTCCCACAACCAATGGAATCCCTTTGGGTTGCTATGCCCTTCCAGCATGAATGTGAACCATTAAGAACTACTCTCTGAGAATGGTTGTCCAACCAGTTATACACCCACCTTATAGTAGCTCCATCTAGGTTGCATTTTCCTAGTTTATTGATAAGAATGTCATGCAGGACATTATCAAATGGTTTACTATAGCCCAGGTATACCATGTCCACTGCTTCTCCCTTATCCACAAGTCTTGATATCCTGCTGATAAGTCATAATGATATATGGAGCCGAATAGTGATGCACATATGAGATTGTCTGAACCATCACTGCACTATGACACTCTCTCTGAATGAAGCCATTCTACTTTTATTAAGTAAATGAATAATAGTTACATATTAATTTAGCCAAAGGAAGAGTGAGAATAGTTTATAGTCCAAGTGTTAGGACAATTTCTCAAGAGGAGGAAAATCCCAGTTCAAATCCTTTCCTTTCATAAGGCAGTGGTAGAATTCAATAGAGAAGTTGTAAAGAATTACAGAACTATAGTGTATATAACTGAAATCGTGTTATGTACTGGATTCTATTAATATATGTGTGCATTATCATTATTTATGAAAACGAGAACCTATCCAAAAGTCTAGACATCTAGGCAAAATTTTCAAAAGCAAAAATTAGATTATCCACAATAGAATTTTTTTAAAAAAATGTATTTGCTTACTATTCTGTATAACAGACAGACCAGCCATCTTGTGTATAACCCACGACAACTTGAGGCATTAAACTATCAAGAAAATTCACTTATATGTGAATTTCAAAGAGATGTACTAGACCAGCAATTATTAACCATTAATTTCTAGTAATAGAAATCAAGGGTAGATGCTAATTATATTTGTCTATGTTTACATATATTCTGTTTATCAATGTAAACTAATTAGCTTTTAGATGCTAAATGTTTTTCATGTCTTAATTGCCTTACATTATGTATGTAACTGTATACAGTTAACCTTAAGATCAAAGATGTGAAACACTGTAGGAAAAAATATTATTAATATTGTCTTCAGATTAAGTATCTCTCTTATAATGAAGATACTTCAGTACCAGCTAACTGCCATATATAAATGAGTGTAGTTAGTTTACTTTTGTATGCATAGGAAATAAATTAACTTCAAAGCAAAGGTCCATAAAGTTGTCTGTGTTGTCTATTCTTCTTCAGAGGAAAGCTGTTGTGGCAATTTCTGTGAGCAGGCTTATCAGACTATTAGAGAGCTATAAGGCTACATCTAGACTGCAAACCTCTTTCAAAAGAGGCTTTTTCAAAAGAGACTTTAAAAAAGCCTCTTTTGAAAAAGAGCATCTAGACTACAACCAGTACTTTTGAAAAAGCAAGGCACTTTTTCGAAAGAGAGCACCCAGGCAGTCTGGATGCTCTCTTTCAAAAAAGCACACTTTGAATACAATAGAGCCTTTTTTTGAAAGAGTACTTTCGAAAAAAAGGCTTTATTCCTCATAAAATGAGGTTTTCCATGGGCAACTTACTTTCAAAAGAACAGAGCAGCAGTCTAGACATGTGAAGGTTTTTTGGTTTTTGTTTTTTTTCCAAAAAGGCCATTTTTTTGAAAAAACCCTATAGTCTAGACACACTCTGAAAGTGAAAGCTGAGGCCTGATCCTTTCCTCTCTACTCTGCCAAACATTGAACAGGGAAAGTTTGAGCTGTAGAACTGAGATCTTCAAAGAGTTATTTGGAATATCCTGGAAAATACATGGAAAGACTCTAATAGTGTTTATATCTAAGCTCCTTGGAATTCTGACATTTGGAATCATTCCAAAGAGACTAGCAGATATATTACATCACGGATCTATGAACAGTGAAAATCACTTGTATGCATAGGATTCCTTAAACATTCAATAATGCTTTTCTATTCTTTTATTACTATATCTTTAGTTAGTTTACAAAAGATTGGCAGACAGTGTGATATTTGGGTAAGATCTGAAATATGAATTGACTTGAAGGTAAGCATCTGATCCTTCAGGATTAGTAAAACTTTAATTATGGTAAGAAGAGAGTTTTCAATAACCTATCACAATTAGATCTGCTCACCTAAATACAAGCCAAGGACCAGAATGCAAAACAGCTTCTGGTGTTTGTCTTCTGGTTAAAGAGTGTGGTATTATAGAAGCTTTTCTGTTACTGGCTTGGTGAATCTAATTACAGAATAAACTACCAGTTGTATTGATTGTCTCTCCTTTTTCTTGCAATCTGCCCTAAGTGTAGCACTCTCAGTGTGGGCCATCAAGGCATCTGGTCATAATCTATATGGTATATCACAACCAGAAAGTGGAAACCATCTGCTTCACCTATACACTAAATTACTTTTACTCGGTTTCAAATATTGTTAGCTTCTTAAAAATAATATCTAGTTCTTCAGTAGTCAGATAAGTAACAAACAATTTTCTCCCATCCAATATTAATGAATAGTAAAATAAAGCAAACTGCTACAGTTTGATTGGAAAGTATTTTTTTTAAATCCATGCCAAGGCAAACCACTAGTAGCAATTATTTATGAGGTCTTATAAGCATCTGATTGCTTGCAGCCTCATATCTCCAGATGCCT